TCGTAAAAAATCCAGGGGGAGACACTGCTAGTGTTTCTAGAGGGCATGTGACAGACTATAAAACAAACTAAAGAAGTTTCAGTGGTCTGATGAGACCAAAGTTAATTTCTTGATTATCATACTTAACACTGTGTTTGGTTTAAGTTAAACATTAAGCAGAACGGCACCATCTCCAGGGCTCCAGGCTCACTAATAAATAGACAATTCAGAAATAAGAATGTGCTGGTTTATCTAAAAGAAACAGTCACAAACTCATAGCTACTTTGCTCTGAAGTTTGGTGGTGTTCACTGGGAAAATATCTGAACTTATTTATGTTAGCTATTTGGATATAAAGTGATGTCAGAGTGCACAAATGTGGGACTTAAATTTTGTCTCTCTTCCAAATTGATACAGTAAAAGTGCTTGATTTTGTTTTTCCAGCAACCTAAAATCAAAGAATAAAGTATTTTCCTTCACCATGTAGTGGGATTTTTTTTCATTTATAAAGGACACAGGTAACATGTTTTATAATTCCTGTCAATATAATTCAGTTTATTTTATTTCCATCTCTGTATTCACATTGGTCGCACCTTATTTTGAAAAACAGACTTAGTCACATGCATATCCTGGGCCATTTCAATGCATTTACAGGTTAGTATATGGAATGTATATGAAATCGGTGGCAACTGGTTTGAACATGGAGATGCGAGTGACCGCTAGCTTGACGCACAAACATTAGATGCTGCCTTTGGACCATCCATGAAGCGCAGCAGTAGGGCCGCATGATGTCAGGAAAACGTGATATACAATAAGGTTGTTGAATATTGTGATGACCAGCCATAGCTTTCATTTTGAGTAAATCAACATATTTTGGAAAACAAATAATTTATGTAAGAGGCAGATATGAAAATTTTGATGGTATAGGCTAATGTTAAGCTACTTTGGTTTTCATTGGTTATAGTTTATCTCTAGGGTTATTATTTTATTATAGCAATGCTATTGGAAATAGGCCTTGTGTGTAAGCCTTACCATCACTCATTCAGCTTAAGTGTGTCTGTGTGTGTGTGTGTGTGTGTCTGTGTGTGTCTGTGTGTGTGTGTGTGTGTGTGTGTGTGTGTGTGTGTAGCAAGCCACTGAGTACCAGGTCACTCTTATGTGGTCTTTTGCTGTGATGATGTCCCTTGCGTTGTTGTGCACACACGCTGTAACTTTGCCCTCAAGCACCCACTCCTCAACTGCGTCCTTTAACTTTCCTTTAACACATGATGGACAATTACTCAAGAATGTGGTTGGTATTGTATGATAGACATTTTTACCTTTGACATGTAGCTTTGAATGAGGGTTTGCATCATCCCTGGGACAGTGGGATCGTGTTTGTCTGGACACCTGCATGTAATCCCATACTGTAGTCATATTGTCACAAAACTGCTCTCATTAGACACATTTTAAAAATGTTGACACTAGATTTCTTGTGAGTTACTGTTTTACATTCTGATGTGTGAGCACATTGAGAAGATTCCTTCAAGTGTGGAGTTTGGCCGTAGTTGGGGTCTGACAGGCATTCAGCTGGAGCTGGCCACTTGGCACAGGGTGTGATGCAGCAAACTACATCTGCAGCATTAGCCAGAGTGTAGTGCATTGTATCACAGCAGCATATTCTAATAATGTCCTCTTTCATTCAGAGTTCGTGTTTTCAGTGCTATTTAACATGTTTGACATGCTGCTGCTGCGTAGGAAGAAAAACTCTGTATGAAATAATAATTCACTGAAAGTGTTATAACCCTTTATTTGAATTGAAGATGTATTTAGCCTGGTGGCAATAAGGCGTGTTTGCTTTCAACGTTCTGTCAGCCATGCTCCTCACATAAGCTGATAAGTTGGTCAGAAATGGGAACTGAGAAATGTAGTTATTCTATCCAAGGTACTTGTTCTCAAAATCACAAGAACGACGGCTTAAGTATGAACTTAACCCCTGACTTCCAACCTCCAGTTTATGATTACGAGCCAAGTTAACACTGCACATTCAGTACTGTGGTGTACTCCTAAGCCTCACTACATGCAAAGCAGAATAACTGGTTTAACTGTAACTACATGAGGAGTGATGCTGTTAAAGCTCAAACAAGAACAACAGATTGTTCAGTTTTCCATCAGCGCTGGCTCCCAGCCAGACATTACAACATTTCCACCTGACTACTCTCTTACTATTTTAAGTACTTGTAGGTAACTTGTTTTTTTAACTCTATCTTTTGACCAAACGATTTTTTTTTTAATTTATTTATTTTTTTTTTTTTTTTGAAACATGAAACTTTTTTCACTTGGTCAGATTGATTTGGAGAGAATGAGACCTTTGCAGGTGAACACTTGTCATTCAATAGCTTAAACTACTCGGGAAAATCACCTCAAACCATTTGGAGATGCATTTGGAATTATCCATGCACTGTGTAGTCCATAATTAAGCTTAATCTATGAAAATGTCAAGGGGAAAAAACCCTCATTGTATTGCACATTGCAGTATGTAATTGCCATTATTTTCCCCCAGGTGGATGTTGTATGCACTTGTGGAAAACCCTACATATAGCGCTGTGAAGTCTGTGGCAGTGATGTATTGAGTTATTGTCATGGTTTCAAAATGAATACTAAACATGGTTTTAGCTTCATCTACCTTTTTTTAAAAAAAAAAAAATCCTATTTACAGTGTAACGTAAAGTATCCCAGATGGCTAATTGTAAACTGTTGGTTTCAGACTGATTAAAATGGATTGTACAGAGCTCTTTTGAAATCCTGTCAACTGTGGACACTAAGTATCTCACAAGAACAGGCTTTCTGTCATGCAGAGAAATGAGTCAAGAGTTGCCCGTGCAGAACAAGATGATTTATGTTCCCAAAGAATAATTTTATACCAAGTGTTACTGCAGCAGTAGCAGGCACTAACCTGTTCTTCATGATTTATCTGCACCTGCTCACAGAATTTAGATATTCCTGTTCAAACCTTTGAAAAACATTGTTTAGCATGTTGTCATGCAGGACATTAAAGGATTATGAATAGATAAATAGTATTGTATTGGCCATGTTGTTGCAGGTTTTATCACTTCAAACTACTGCAGTTTCTTCCAACAAGCAGTGTTAAAAGGTTGGTATTACGTAAAGCAATATTAAGTTGTGGCTGTATATGATTGTAATTGTGAACAGAAGACTTGTGTTTCACTTTATTTGGATGGATAAGTGCTGTGATACATCCGTGTAGAAAATACCTTTAGTTAATGATTAGAGGAGTTATCTTCTGAATGGCCTGTTATCAACTCTGCAGTGTCACTCTACTAAAAAACCAACATAATCTGACTGATAAGGTCACATACAGTAGTGCGTAGACCAGGGGTGTTAAACATGCAGCCTGTGGGCCAGAGCCAGCCGGCGAAAGGTCCAGTCCAGCCAGCTGCATGACTTTGCACAGTTAATGTTGATGCACTTGTGAAGGCTAGGGAGTGCCAGGTTTCAGGAGCAAGTTTTACAGTAAGTAGCCTACTTCTTGTAAAAATGCTGCTTCAGAGGCTTTTCACCCTGACCAGAATAAAGGTCTTTGACAAAAAAGAACAATGAACACTTAAGAATGCTGCAGGAATGAGTTCAGAATCACAGGAATGAGTAACTGCCCCAAGAAAGGAGTTCGAGTGTTTCCGAGTCTTGTTCATGAATGTGGGTAAAATAGAGCGAGAGATCGATAGGTGGCTTGGTGCGATTTCAGCAGTGATGCAGGCATTGCACTGGATGTCGTGGTGAAGAGGGAGCTGAGTCGGAAGGCAAAGCTTTTGATTTTTTCCATCTATGTTCCAACCCTCACTTATGGTCATGAACTTTGGGTATTGACTGAAAGAATGAGTTCATGGATACAAGCACCCAAAGTGAGTTACCTCCACAAGGTGGCTGGGCTTAGCTTTAGAGAAAGGGTGGGGGACTTGGACATCCAGAGGGAGCTCAGAGTAGAGACGCTGCTTCTTCACGTTGAAAGGGGCCAGTTGAAGTGGTTCAGGCATCTGATCAGTATGCTTTTTGGGCACCTCCCATTAGAGGTGTTCTGGGCACGTCCAACTGGTAGGAAGCTCCAGGGCAGACCCAGAACACGCTGGAGGGATTATAAATCTTATCTGGCCTGGAAATGCCTAAGGGTTCCCGGGATGGGCTGGAAAGCATTGTTGGGGGGGAGATATGTATGGAGTTCTTGCTCAGCCTGCTAGCCTTGCGACCCGACCCCGGGTGGGTGGGTGGATGGATGGATGGATGGATGGATGGATGATACTACACCATAAAATACGTCAGGAAATGTCATCACACTGAGGACGGTTTTGCAGTCATTTTATGGTGACGAGGTTGAAGCCATGTGCCCATAGTATAGTTCGTTTATAACCTAAGGTTAGCTTTTTACTTCTGTTGATTGCAATTATGCTTCAAAAATCATAAATATGGCGTTCATTTGTGAAGATTATCTTGCTGAACAAAACATAAGTATCAGACTTTTGATTGCCAAAGAGCTTATCTTCAGCAATAATCCAAATCCAGTGGAAGAATCCCTTTGGCTTCTTTGTCAGCCCACAAAAAAACATCATCCCATCTTCCACTTTATTGTTGTCATATTTAAAGATATTGAACAGTGTGCAAAATATTGTCCAACAACTGCTTCAGTACAGAAGAATCTGTATCAGATTTCTGTCTTGATGATTTTTTTTCTGATCATGGAGGGCTGCATCCCTAATACAGTAACTTGAACATTTGTCAATTTGCTGTTTCATGTGTTCTTGACAAGGTGAAGCTAAACAATACTGGCGTCTCCTCAAGACTTAACTTTCTTTCAAGCTGCACTCTAGACTTGCTTTTACAGCAGACCTTTGTTTCACTCAAGGTCATGTCAGATTGACATCTTCGATGTCCACATGGGAAACACCTCATGACAAGTTCAGGCACGAAGTTGATCCAACAGTTGTAATCCTCCCTTTTGTCTTTTTAAATTTCTGTCCTGTCTGTGCAGGTGGAGTGGTGTTGTGGAGCTCAGGCAACAGGACTACAGACATCATGGTGAACATCCCAGAATACTATGCAGGGAAATGTGTGCTGATCACCGGAGCAACAGGCTTCATGGGCAAGGTACAGTAGTAGTTGAATTGGCAAGTAACCAGCAGGACATAACTGAACCCAACAATTTGAGCTACCAAGCGAGAGGAGGGGGAACATGTCTAGAAAGTAGGGATGCACCGAATATTCGGTAACCGAATATATTCGGGCGAATATTGCAAAAAAACACACATTCAGTATTCGATGGAATAAGTTAAAAGCAAGGCCGAATAATAGCGGCACGGTTTTGATAACGCAATCAAACAGCGTGCCGTGACGGGTGGATTAAAATGTCGGCAGTGTGGCGATCCGCCTGTCACCGCACTCGCATTTGTGACTAAAAATAGTTTTGAGCGAGCAAAATAGGCTTACGCCAGGGCCACACCGCCCGCGGAAGCGCCGCGAATAGCCTCGAAGCGCTGAAAAGTAAAGCCAGTTTCCTTTCGGCACCCATGTTAACTGATTGTGTCATCCACACCGGCCACGCCGCGCAGCTCCGCCGCCGGCCCTGCAGCGATCAATTCGGCGTCTGCGAGCGAATGTGTCAAGCCGTGCAGTTACCCATGATGGAAAAACAACAGCTGGGAGCAGAATCGCTTGATGACTGGCGTGGAGAAATGCACGTCTGATGTGAACAGAGGTGCTCCGGCTCGCGCGAGAATTTCGGTGCGCTGCGCTTCACAGGCAGTGTGGCCCTGGCATCAAATCCGAACACAGCAATGTGACGTGTCAGAGGAGAAACGAGCCGTTCACGGCCCACAAACCTCACCACACTTTAGGGACTGTTCTTTACTTATGAAGGGACTTGTCAGGGGAGGAGGGTGGCTGGTTGATTTTTATTTTATTTATTTATTTTATTTTGATCCCCCCTATGTTAATCACTCATTGATGCTGTTTTTGAAGTATGAATAAGTCAATAAGTCATTTATTCCATTGAAATATCATTGATGTAGCCTATAATAGAAAAGTGATTTATCTTTTCATAAATGACAAAAGGCACATCTGCCTAATTTTTGCTGTGATATCGTGATACTACTCAGGACCATGATATTTTCATTGGTATCGTACAGTGGGTCCCAATTTTGGTACCGTGACAACACTAATCTGGAGGGGGTTCATCTGCAAAAACTAATGAAAAACTAAACAGCGATATTCAGTATTCGGTACTCGGTTTTCGGCCAAGCGTTTAGTATTATTCGGCTTCGGCCACAAATTTTCATTTCGGTACATCCCTACTAGAAAGGGGGTTCGTTTCACTCCAACATGACAAATTGAGATACAAGCTAATGAGTGACACATTGCACTTCCTGCTGCTTTATTAGAGCACGCAGGTATGCTAGTTTAGAGGGTGTCTTTGGTGTTTCTAAACCTGGACCCTATTTTCTCATGTTTTTGTGACCAGTGGGAACAACGGTTTAAAAAATTGGTCCAGTATTGTTCAAATTGCCGCAGTGGAAAAACGGGCTGCAGTATAATTCCTGTCAGCAGTTGACCACCATCAATTTACATCCACTAAAAGTGCTTGTTTTTGCCAGTGATAGGCTCAGATTGTCTGACAACATTATAGAAGGGATCCCTACAGAGGTCAACCTCTTTGTTTAAGAGAGACATTGTTTGTTTAACCAGGTACAGTCCCAAAATCAATATCACCAAACCTGCTGGACTTAATTTAAATAAATGGTCATTTTATCTTTGTCAAACACACTTAACTTAAGTCAACTGAAGCAAAATAATACCATGACAAGCTGTCTTTGTTGTCTTCCAATGTTCCAACAGTCACCAGCTCTGGTTTGGTTGAAATAAAGCCTTAATTCACCCAGGTAGATGTGAACATATGCTGCTCTATACACACCAAAATTGCTGTTTATTCTAATGGAGTATGGTGGGTTTGGCAATTGCAATTTTGGGTCTGTCAAAAAAGGATTTTGCTCTTTAAAGACAAAGGTCTATGTCTGTAGGGATCCTGTCCATAAGTTGTAAGACACTTATAATAGCTATCTGAGCCTGTCACTTTTAATGGACGTTTGTTGATGGTGTGTTATTGCCAGCAGGGATTACATCGCAGCCTGCTCTCATTACTGGACCAATGTCAAAAACTGTTGTTCCCATTATCACATAGACACAAAAAACATGGAAAAATAGGGTATAGGTTGGAAGATACCAAAGTTACCCTTAAAGCCTTTTGTCAGAGCAGTTTCAGTTCGTATTACACACTATGCATATAAAATTTAGATTTCACAAGTCTGTTGCTTCACTTCTATTCACACCATAAAGTGAAGCAGGAAGAATGAAGAGACTCCACCAGTCACAACTCTGACACTTTTATTGTATGCTGAATACTGTGTGTTGTACTGTGAGAACATGAGTAAGGACATTCTTAGTTTAACAGCAGATACATGAATACCTTCTTGTTGAGAACAATAAATGTGGCAAAGCATTCCTATGGTCTTCCTGTTACTGCCCTATTCTACCAAACACAGCAGCCATTGTGTGGTTTTTATGTATTTGAGTCTGTTCAGATGTTGTGGAGGAAGAAGCACTCTCGATGTAACACATTATTTTATTTCTCTCAGCTTCTACAATGGATCAAAAGAGGAAACAAATCTAGGTGGTGTGCATCTACTCAACAGTCCAAAGAGGAAAAGATGATTTTGTCCCTCTTGCTTGCTCATTGTTAAAGGTGCTGCTGGAGAAGCTGCTGAGGTCCTGCCCAGGAGTTAAAGGCGTCTATGTGATGGTCAGGTCAAAGGCTGGTCAGAGCCCACAGGCACGCATTGCTGACATGATCAGTGCTAAGGTGAGAAGTTGCAGATGGGTTGGCATGATCTGATGAGTGTTGGAGGGGGTAAAGGAGGAGCTGGAGAGAAGCCTGTTACACCAGCCATGTGTAAATTTAAACATAGGTGAGTTAGAGTGTAGTGTGGTAATTAAGCTGCAACTTAAATACAAGTTGCACCAAAACAAGCTGGTTGTAGCATAGAGTTAAGATGACATCTATAATGCACACCTTCCCTGAGCAGATGTATGGAGAGTGAGAGGAAAGTTTTCTTCTATCTTTTCTCCAGGAGAAGTGAGGGCTGTACCTGACTCAGAATTCTGACAGTTAAATCATTTTTGGCTGTTCAATATGAATATTTGACGATTATTTTTTTTCCATATAAAGTTCGAGCGGGTTCAGCAGGATGTTGGGAGCAGGGCCGTTGCAACCAGGCAGGCAAACTAGGCAATTGCCTAGGGCCCCAAGCTGGAAGGGGGCCCCCAGTGACGGCTGACATTGGTCCATATCAATGACAATATGGTGGAACCCCTATAGACACTGCAACAACGACAACATGTTGGAATCCCCCCTAATGGGGTCCCCTACTAGCTGCTGCTTGCGAGTGGCTAAGTAGGGTGACCAGACGTCCTGCACTGTGCAGGACTGCACAGCATTTCTGTCTGTTTTCATGCGTCACGCAAATTGAGACCATGTCCCGCATGATTGGTTGCCACCACGCGCTAGCATTGTTGGAGTACCGTAGTACTACGGTACCTCACGGTACCACTACTGTGGGATAAGTTCAAAGTCCAATTGCAAGATTGTCCATGCGCCGTTGCGCATGGACACTCACCCTCTTGCGCAAGCAAAACAAATCATTGAGCACGCTATGCAAGTACAGCTTTCAACCAGCAGCAGAAACGAAAGGCGAATCCTGCCAGTTGTGGGTTGAATGGGGGTCACAGACACCGTATTCCTGTCAAATACGCCGCAAGATAAGGCTTACGGGCGACGGGGAAGTCCGGCTCCAGGTCCAATAATTTCCTCTTTGTTGATTTCATGACTGCCCAGAAGTACCTGAACAGCTGAGCCGTGGCGGCACACAGGTGTGATGTGTCAGAGGAGAAACGAGCCGTTCACATTTCTCTCTGTTGGCAGGTAACGGTCCACAAACCTCACCGCACTTTAGGGACTGTTCTTTACTTATGAAGGGACTGTTCCTTACTTGTCACGGGAGGAGGGTGGCTGGTTGATTTTTATTTTATTTATTTATTTTATTTTGATCCCCCCTATGTTAATCACTTATTGATGCTGTTTTTGAAGTATGAATAAGTCAATAAGTAATTTATTCCATTGAATTATCAGTGATGTATTATAGAAAAGTGATTTATCTTTTTATAAATGACAAAAGGCACATCTGACTCATTTTTGCTGTGGTATCGTGATACTACTCAGAAACAGCCCTGGTTGGGAGTGACAGTGGCATTAACGCAATATAGTGAGCAAGCTAACGGTGCCAACGATTGATTGGAAATATGCAACACACACAAGAGACTGTTGTATTAAGAACATGTGAGCTCTTAATTTTGCACTGCTAAGCAAAAGAGGGAAGGTAGTGTTATCTCTGAGCCTTATGGTGCAGAGTCAGTCCTCCTCTGTACCAAAGAGTATTGTGAAAGTTAAGAACGTTACTCCACAGCAAAAGCTGGGGTCCAAAATGTCCCCAGAAGTGCACTGCACAGCACACTGACAAGCACGAAAGAAAGAAAGAAAGAAATACTGCTCGACTTGAGTGAGTCTGAGTTGACGGAGTGGTGTCCAACTGACATTCAGATCTCTGACTTTCAGGGGGCAGCCCTGCTTATTTCACGTTAGATTTTATCTTATCATATTTGATGAAAAACACAGGTGGAATCATTACTTGTCCAGCTACAGTCTTAGTTGTAATCCTCCCGCATATAACTGACACTTGACACTGGATGACACGCATGCCCCACACACATACACACATGCGCGCGCATAGACACCTTCCAGCGTCTAACTGACGTGTGTTCACTGACCCACATGCTTCTCTCTCTCTCGCTCTCTCACTCTCACACACTGTCTCTCCCTCCTCCAACTGCATAACTAACTGCTTAACCAACAGTTGTATTTACTGACCAGTCTGTAGTATTTCATCTCCTCTTTTTTATCATGAAAATTAAAGAGGTTTTTATTTTTTTAATTAGTTTTTTTTTTTTTTTATAACTACACTGCTCAAAACAATTAAGGGAACATTTAAATCCTACATCAGATCTTGATAAACGAATTATTCAAGTTGAATATCTTTACTGATGTACATTGTGTAATTTGTTGAGAACAAAATGACGTGACAACGGTCAGTGGAAATCAAATCATCAGTGCACTGATGGCTGGATTTAAAATTGCACTGAAAATCACAGTTAAAAAAAAATTGAAATCACAGGTTGATCCAAATTGTGTGAATTTTATCACGGCAACTCATAATGTGACTCATTAGTGTGCATGGCCCCCACGTGCCTTTATGCACTCCCTTCTGGGCATGCTCCTGATGAGTCAGCGGATGGTGCCCTGGGGGATCTCCTCCCAGGGCATCAGTGAGTTCCTGGACAGTCAGTCTCCGGCAACATGAGGGCGAGCATTGTCCTACACCAGGAGGAACCCAGGGCCTACTGCACCAGTGTAAGATCTGACGGTCTGTGCAACCCTACAAGGATGTGCCTAGACCATATAGACCATCACTGACCCACTGCCAAATCGCACATGCTGGATGATGATCTTTCACGTCTGTCACATGTGAACCTGCTCTCATCTGTGAAGAGAACGGGGGTACGCCATGAGGAGCGGGGCACCAATGGTGGACCTGCCAATTCTGGTGTTCTCTGGCAAATGCCAAGGAAGCTGCACCGTGCTAGGCTGTGAGCACAGGTCCTACTAGAGGACGCCAGGCCCTCATGCCACCCTCATGGAGTCTGTTTCTGACAGTTTGTTTGGAAACATACACACCAGTAGCCTGCCTGCTGGTCATTTTGTAGGGCTCTGGCAGTGCTCCTCCTGTTCCTCCTCACACAAAGGAGCAGATACTGGTCCTGCTGCAGGGTTGATGCCCCCTCTTCAGCCCTGTGCGGCTCCCCTCGTAATGGCCCTTCTCCTGGTATCTCCTCCATGCTCTTGAGACTGTGTTGAGAGACACAGCAAACCTTTTTGTGACTGCATGTATGGATGTGCCATCCTGGAAGAGCTGGACTACCTGTGCAACCTGACTGGGCTGCAGGTACCGCCTCATGTTGCCAGTAGTGACAAGGACACTAGCAGAACACAAAACTAGAGAAGAATCAGTCAGGAAGGATGAGGAGAGAGCAACTGTCTGTGGCCACCACATGTAAAACCATTCCCTTTTTGGGGGTTGTCTTGCCTTTGCCTCTCCACCGTAACTGTTGTCACTTTCATTTGCACCAAAGCAGGTGAAACTGATTCACAATCACTTGTGCTTCCTAAATGAACAGATTGATATCCCTGAAGTTTAACTGACTTGGTGTTCTACTGTGACCATTAAGTGTTCCCTTATTTTTTACATTTTAGTTTTGTCTTTTTTCATAAACAATATTGTACGTGTTCCACTTAGTGTTTAATGACATTGGTGCCATCTCCTGAACATATTTAGTCTCAGTTTTCATTAATGAAATTAACGCTCATGCTCAGTATTGTGCTGAGAGTTACCAACATCAGCTTTAACTGTTTAGGTGTCATCCTCAGCAGAATTTTGTCTCCAACACGCAAGTTTTCCAGAGACTTTTTTGAATAATCGTTATGACCATATTTATGTGACACAGACATCCTCGCCTCAGTGAAAAACTTCAAACCATAACATTAGCAGTTTAAATAAATATTAAAGTTAATGTTAGACAGACAAAACCAGTTGTATAAAATGAAAGCTTGTTCTGATATGAAGCAGTTAGCGTTGACATTTACATTTGAAACACTGGATCAGGCTTTCCTTCAGCTGGTGCAACAGGCTGCTGTATGTTGGCAATGCTTACATTGTCAGTGGCTGCAGTTTCTACTGTCTGTAGATGAGAGGAGGAATATAGAGAGCTTGTTGCAGGAGGAACAGACAAAAGTAGGGCATTCTACCATCAGCCATACACCACTAACACTACCGACAGAAAGCAAGTGAACAGAAGCTTTTCTTTGATGAAAATATATTCCACTGCACACTGATTAACAGTCAAATGATGTATTCTTTACAATTTCTAACTATACTTATAGTTTACAATGTACTGTAACTTGGGCATCATTCTGACTTCATCATTTCCCCACACAGTTGTTTGAAAGATTGCAAGATGAGCAGCCAGACTTTGCAGAGAAGATCATAGCAGTGAACAGTGACCTTACACTGCCAGAGCTGGATCTTAGTAAAGAGGATCAGAGCATCCTGGCTGACAACATTAACATTGTTTTCCACTGTGCTGCCACCATCCGCTTTAATGAGCCACTCAAGTGAGTTGTCTTTGTTGTCTTGTTTACTTTTGCTGGATTTTTTGATCTTGATTTCTTGATGAGGAATATGTTCTTTCCTTTCCTGCCTGTTTCTCTTTAATGGCACTTTGTATGTTAACCATTTTTATCTCTGTCTCTCTTCCTGATCCTGAACGATTGGTAACAGTTTATGATCTGTTGTTAACTTGCCTTAGCAGTGACAGCAAGCTACATAGGGATACGTCATACCCGATACACCTCCCTCAACAAATCACTTTATTTGCAGGAAAATGTGATTTGTTTAGGAAGGTTTGTTGGCACATTTTTTGCGTCCTGCACATTGCTGATCGTATGTACTTGCTTCATTTGGTCAGTTAATTTCATCCACTGAATAAATGTCAAACTTTTCTGTCTTCCCTTTCCCCTTCTCAGAGATGCAATGCAGCTGAATGTCCTGGCCACCCAGAAGATGCTGGCTCTGGCCCACAGAATGAAGCACTTGGAGGTCTTCATTCATGTCTCCACAGCCTACGCTAACTGTGACCGAGAGCTCATTGAGGAAATTGTATACCCTCCCCCTGTAGACTACCGCAGACTCATTGATTCTCTGGAGTAAGTTCTTCTTTCTAATAAACAGTGCACTGCTCAGTCAACAAACTGTTGTGGTGATGGTTGATGTGGATGGCCTTGTTTATCTATACAGATGTGTGGATGGTGTTTTTTGTCATTAGTACACAGCAACATGGGATTATGTTTGTGGTGGTTTTTAAAAGGATTCTTAATTTCTTCAGTTTGCTTGATGCATAAAAACAGGCAGGAGTATATTATCAAGATTAATGTCAGTGATACTCTAAGCATAGCAGCTTAGCCATAGAGTTAACAGCTGCTAAGTAGCACTAATGTCGTCGAGGCTGCCAGTCTCAGCTGCTGAGCTAGATTAGTAAAGCATTAGAAGCCTACAGAGTAAGTAGAGATTAGTGGAATGATTCTGAGGGATTGTAGTGTCAAGGTTTTGAGGGAACTTGGGTGGATGCATGTAGAGAGACAACATGCTGGGTTTGACTGTGGAATTTTAGCTAAATTGACCTTTTTGGAGGGAAATAAAGACCTAGGTGAAACTCGATCATATGTGAGAGCAGCAAGTCATGGACTGAAATGTCATGTTCTGTGATGGTCTTTTTTTGTGCTTGGATTGTAGCAAGGTTTAGACTGGTTTGATATGATGACAAACACTGATATACCAAATTTCCCCACTAGGTGTTGCACTTGACTCAGAATTCGCCCCCGAGTGGGCGAATTGTTATAGTTTGTTGTCCTAACAACAAACGAGTGTCCATCGATCACGTTACATCGTGTAACATCAGAGCTCTAATTAGAGCCTACGCATGTGGCCTACGCCGTTGTGAGCATTTATACTTCTGCGGTGGTGTGTCTGTGTCACTCTGCAGTTACACCTCCAAAACACTAGTCAGCGGCGGGGTCTATGTGAAGTGCCGTAAAGTTTAGTTGATTCAAAACACACCCAAGACACACATTAAACATGGCATAATAGAGATGATTTCAAACACAAATACACAAATCGGCTTCACTATAACACGCAACATTCACTGACAATGCACTGTCTTTTTCTGGCCACATTTTCCCCACAAATACAACATGCTAATGTTATTAGCAAAAGCCTTTGGCATTTTACATTGTATAAATATGAAGTCAGGGACAACAGCAACATTAAAAGAGGTAACATTACAAAATTCAGCTCCATTAAAATTCACAAAGTTCACTGTCAAAACAACTGTCTTATACTAAACACATTTTCCAAACAATTTTTTTCATTTTACATTGTATAAATTAGTCTTGGCAACAAGCAGAGATTTCCTATACTCGTATGAAGCCAGGATAAATCCCAAAGCATAAATCCCTGAAGGATAAATCGCACACAAGACTTAAAATGCTATTTTGTGGAGGCTTTATTGTCTTCACAATTTATTGTTTTATCTGTGAAGTAAAAAAGTAAATAAAAGCTTTGTTTCCATTGAGGGAAATGGTTTTAGCTTACAAAAATAGACAGGAGCTCTGCATCACCACCACATTTAGTCATATTTCTGGGGAGATGCACGTCAGGCTATGGTATAGGGTATGGGGTAGGCTTTTAAGTCGACAGAGGCATAAATCATGCATTATGTGAGTTGAGTTTGTAGTGAAGTAAGGAGGTATCTTATAGATATCTCCTCATTTTACCTCCATGAGTCGTCCATTTCATCCATCTCGGCGATTTCAAAGCAAGCAGCAAGAATGAATAGAAACAGGGAGTCGAAAAAATTCAGCTCACAACAGTAGCGCTGCATCACCTGCAGCCAGTTAGGACAGCTCCTTTGTCAGCTTCAAATCCAAAATGTTGCCATATTGGCAAAGTTTTAGTTTTCTCAGGAGACTTAACTCTGCCATGTCCAATAAACACACAAACTAATGTGCGCTGCTCTTACCCTTCCACCTTTACTGTAATTTGATCTCCTTTATGTTGCCAGCCCGTGCTCACAGCTTGTCGGACACAAGTGTCTCTGTTAATGTGTGTATGAACATAATATTATGTTAATCACATTGTCACAGCTTACTATATAATGACGAAAACTCTGTCTGTGGGTGTGTCTGTGTGTCTGTTCCACGTTTTTCTCCTCACTGACTTGGTCAATCCATGTGAAATTTGGCACGGTGGTAGAGGGTCATGGGAGGATGTGAATGAAGCAATATTACATCAATTGGCCAAAGGGAGGCGCTGATTGAAATTGCAAACTTTGAATGGGCATATCTCATGCCCCGTATGTCGTAGAGACATGAAACTTTGCACAGAAAAGCCTCTCCTGATGAGGGACAAATTTGCAACAAGAACCCATAACTTCCAATTACATAGATTTTCCGCCATTTTGAATTTTTTGAAAAACACTTAAAATCGATCTCTTCCTAGGAAGTTTGACCGATCTGCATGAAACTCGGGGAACATGATCTAGGGACCAGTATCTAAAGTTCCCTCTTGGCAAAAGTTGGAAAACTTACTAAAACTGAGCTTCTATAAGACAATGAATATTGCGGAGGGCGTGGCTCATCACATAAAGGTGTATAACATCTCAAGGGTTTCACTGATCACCACGCAACTTTGTAGGCATATGACTACACATAATCTGAGGGGACCCCTCCATTATTGACCCGATCAAACAAAATAGGGGCGCTAGAGAGCTAATTTCTTATTTAGGCCTAACCGCCATATCGATTTTTACTAAACTTGGTGTAGAACAGGACGCCTCAAGGTGACTGGAGAAATTTAACTCTAATTGGCAACTGGGTGGCGCTATAACGACAGAAAAATGCTTAAAAATGGCTAAAATGCGACCGATCGCTGTGGCTCCACCTGTGGACCAATGTTGATGTTTTTTCTAATTTTTGGTATGACTAAGTCATGGTATGGTATGCTGTACATAATCACGGAAACTGTCAGTGTGTCATTCTGTCTGTCCCACGTTTTTCTACTCACTGACGTGGTCAATCTATGTGAAACTGCACATAGGCATTGAGGATTGGCATAGGTAGAAGGTGGCAAAGCTACCAATGGGTATGGACTAGTTGCTTATTAATAATGCGATACTAGCTGCATTTAGCGCTGTGACACAATGAGGTCTGGTTGCTGATGTAGGCTATTTATTAATTTGCCAGAAAGTGTCATAATTACAAATGCAGGTTCAGCCAATTTGCGCAAAAGCAAATAGGTTTTAATGCTTGACCGGACTGGAAAAACTGGAAATCGACCCAACTCTGGAGTGTAGATTCTAAATTCAGGGTGGTGCAGACTGACACTCCACAAAAGCTGTGCAGGAATGGCCCGAGGAACGGGACAAGTAGCTCAAGGTGTTGACTTAAAGGATCCTCTGCCAACGCCCTGGTGCCAGACACCACAGGACACCCCCAGAGGTCCTGTGTCCATGCCTTGACAGGTCAGAGCCAAGTCTGATTCAAGGAGGCCCCACAGTGGATTGGAGGAACCTCTGGGGCATTGGCATGTTCTAGGAATGTTCGATCAGATTGGGATTTGGGGAATTTGGAGGGAAGGTTGGGCCATTCCTGAACAGTTTTTGCGGTGTGGCGTAGTGTATTGCCCTGCTGGGAAGCCACTGCCATCGAGGAGTGCTGGGGTACTTAGTCTGCAACAGTGTTAGGGTGGGTGGAGTGTATAAAGAGACATCAACATGAATGCTAGGACCAAAGATTTCCCAACAGAACATTGCACTGTAACAAGATGATCATTGTTATTCCCTTCACCCGCCAGTGGTTTTAGCTGATTGGTGTACGTATAATACCTGTAGCATTTTGCTGTTGTCATAGTGAGCATATTGGCATGCTGTGCCCAAGTACAGCCTCAAAGAGCAGCAAGCATGGCTGGTTTAATTTATTTCACAGGATTGAAGAAACATTTTTATTGCTTTGAATTAGTACTGTCAGTGATTAAATAAATGTAGCAAATATAAGACTAACATTGTTTCTTTTTTTTATTGGTCCAGCTGGATGGATGACGAGCTGGTGTCTGCTCTGACTCCCAAGCTGATCGGGGAGCGTCCCAACACCTACACCTACACCAAAGCCTTGGCTGAATATTTGGTGCAGCAGGAGGCTGGAGACCTCAATGTAGCCATAGTCAGACCTTCAATAGTTGGAGCCAGCTGGAAAGAGCCCTTCCCAGTAAGTGATTCAGGCTAGTAGTGTTGCATTGCTTTTTCATGATTTTGTAACCCTGTGCCAGGGACAGAATCAATGTTGAATAGAATTTCTCCAATGTACTCCAGATTTATTTTGGATGCGGTTGAAATGGTACCAGAAAGAGCAAAGTACAGCACAAATCATGGCGCTTTCTAGGTTAGTACTGTTTTTAAAATATGGGGCAGGCTGCTGAATCATACCGTAGGATTTTTTTTTTTTTTTTTTGTTAAAAAGTGTTGAAGGCAGAAATATACTTTCTTAGAACAAGTTCATGTGGAAAAAGTCAAACTGCACATACATGTTGGAGCTGCTGCCTTTTGATCATAGGGTAAGAAGCTGGTTGTCATGGTGAACAAGGAGATAATTTATTGATTTCTTAAAACAATGATTTCCTCCACTTTACAGAAAATAAAATGTTGCTTTAATAGGTAGCATTAAAGCAACCTCAAAACTCTGAAGAAAGTCCATCGATCGCCACAGATCTGTTACGGCTGTTCCACCCAGATATCTGTCAAACTCCCTCTGTTTCTTAGAGCAAACAACGACAAATTACCGAGTGCTCACAGGTGAGAGGTAGTGGACTCCAGATGAGTGCCAGGTGCTCTTGAAGTCTGTTTCTTCTCTGAAAGCCCTCAGCCCCTCTCTGCTGCCAACACAGAGGCGTTCAGAGCAGTTCAGCAGTGAACATGTTAGGAATGTGAGGAATGTGGAGTAAAAGAAGTTTCTGCACACCTTTGCTCCCAGCCAATCACTGTGGAAAGCAGAGGAACTGTTGCATTTCTGGTTTAAGAAAATTTGAGAACTTGACAAAGACAGCTCCTGTCTGAATGTCTGAAAGAGACTTCAGTTTTCAGACAGAATCACTCACATGAAAGTGTGTCTATGTTTATAAGCATTTGGGGTTGCATCTATCTATATGATCCCTTGTACTGATAGTAACTAAAGCGTATTGAAATTGAGTATTTTTTCATTAAAAAAAAACAATATATTAAATCTATTACTATATGAAGTGAAGAGAAGTAAGCGGCTTCTAGCATTTAAGTGAATATAACCAGCAAAGCTACTAGTCAGTTATCAAAAAGTCAGATGTTTATCAAGAAAAAAAAATAACTGTTATCTGTCAATTAATAACCTTGGTTCAGTACTAATTTTATTCTTCTTTCCTCTGACTGCTCTTCCAGGGTTGGATTGATAACTTCAACGGGCCGAGTGGAATATTCATTGCAGTAAGTACTGAAAAAAAAAAGTAGTGTGTCGGTCTGTATACAGACCGACACACACATGTATTCTAAAATGGACAGTTCCAGTCCTTGATCATGATTAGCTGAGCTGCATTGAAAGTAGTGCTGCACGATTAATCTAATCACAATCGCGATGTCAGGCTTTGTGATTACATAACCACATAAAAGGCTGTGATTTGCGATTTAATGTAAGTAAATGTTAACGTGTGTGCCTGTGAACAAGACTGCCTCTCCTAGAGTGTGTGGAGTTTGTTGACATCACGCCCACAAGCTATCCTGGTGTGTGCAGCACGTATGATCAGGTGACCACCCGGTGTGCAGCAGTGACCAACATATACGCTGAAGAAGAGCATGAGCACGACCATGAACAGGCTGAGTTGGCGGCAAAAAAAAAAAAGCAATGTCTATTATATGGCGATACTTTGGATTGTGGCCAGAGAGTCTCATGATTTCGGGTTGTCCGTTCATACGCATCTCAAGAACACCTTAAGAGAACTTCTTCAGATTTGGCACAAAAGTAAACTTGGACTTAACAACGAACTGATTAGACTTTGATGGTCAAAGGTCAAGGTCCCATTGACCTTGTGTCTGTCTCAATCTCATGAATGCAATCTCTCAAGAAGGCCTCAGGGGAGTTTCCACAAACTTGGCGAAAGGTCCACTTGGGCTCAAGAATGATCTGATAAAAATTTGGTGATTGGGGTCTCCTGAAGCAGCAGACAGGTACCGGTTGGCCAGAAGGGCTGAAGCAAAAACCCGGATGTGGGAGGGGTTCGGGGAGGCTATGGAGAAGGACTTTCGGTTGGCCTCAAGGAAGTTCTGGCAGACCATTAGAAGCCTATGGGAGGGTAAAGCGGGGCTTGTGTCAGGCTGTGCTCAGCAGAGAAGGAGAACTGTTGACCCGAACTGGGGACATTGTTGGGCGGTGGAAGGAGCACATTGAGGACCTCCTGAACCCCAGCCATCACGTCCACCGGGGAGGGGGCAGAGTCTGAAGACTTGCCCATATCTCTGGCAGAGGTTGCTGAGGTAGTTAAAAGGCACCCCAGCGACAAGGTGCCAGGTGTGGATGAGATTCGCCCTGAGATGCTGAAGGCTCTAGACACTGTTGGGCTGTCTTGGCTGACGTGCCTCTTCAGTCATGGGAGGTCGGGTACGGTGCCGGCAGAGTGGCAAACCAGGGTGGTGGTTCCCATTTTCAAAAAAGGGGACCGGAGGGTGTGCTCCAGCTATCGGGGTATTACACTGCTCAGCCTCCCGAGTAAAGTTTACTCCAGGGTGCTGGATGGGAGGCTCCGACCGATTGTTGAACCTTGGATTCAGGAGGAGCAATGCGGATTTCTGCTCTGGCCGTGGAACAGTAGACCAGCTCTTTACCCTTGCGAGGTTGCTGGAGGGGTCGTGGGAGTTTGCCGATCCAGTCTACATGTGCTTTGTGGACTTGGAGAAGGCTTACGACCGTGTCCCTCAGGGGTTCTTATGGGGAATACTGCGGGAGTACAGGGTATGGGGCTCACTGCTATGAGCCATCCGTTCCCTGTATTACCAAAGTGAGAGCTGTCTCTACATACTTGGTGTAAATTCAAACACGTTCTCGGTGGGTGTTGGCCTCCACCAGGGTTGTCCCTTGTTACTGATGCTGTTTGTGATTTTCATGAACAGGATCTCGAAGGGAGGCTGGGGAGAGTAAGGGGTCAGGTTTGGGAACATTAGAATTGCATCTCTGCTTTTGCAGATGATGTGGCTCTGTTGGCTTCATCACACCGTGACCTCCAGCATGCACTGGGGTTGTTTGCAGCCGAGTGTGAAGCAGTCGGAATGAGTATCAGTACCTTCAAATCTGAGGCCATGGTTCTCTGCCAGAAACAGGTGGATTGCCTTCTCTGGGCTGGGGGAGAGTTACTTCCTCAAGCAAGGGAGTTCAAATATCTCAGGGTCTTGTTCACAAGTTAGGGTAGAATGGAGCATGAGATGGATCGGCAGCTTTTGCAGTGATGCAGGCACTGCGCCGGTCCGTAGTGGTAAAGAGGGAGCTAAGCCGGAAGGCAAAGCTTTCGATTTAGTGGTCCATCTACATCCCAACAGTCGCATGTGGTCACGAGCTCTGGGTAGTGACCAAAAGAATGATACAAGCAGCCGAAATGAGTTTCCTTCATGGGGTGTCTGGGCTCAGCCTTAGAGATAGGGTGAGGAGCTCGGACATCCGGAGGGAGCTCAGAGCAGAGCCGCTGCTCCTTCGCATTGAAAGGGGTCAATTGAGGTGTTTCAGGCATCATATCAGGATGCGTACTGGGCGCCTCCTGCTGGAGGTGTACCAGGCACGTCCCACTGGTAGGAGACCCTGGACAGATCTAGAACATGCTGGAGGGATTACATATCTCATCTGGCCCGGGAATACCCTGGGGTCCCCCAGGAGGAGCTGGAAAGTGTTGCTAGGGAGAAGGATGTCTGGGGTACTTTACTCAGCCTGCTGCCCCCACGACCCGGTCTTGGATAAGTGGATGAAAATGGATGGATGGATGGATGGATGGATGGATGGATCATTTAATGTTCTGCAACAGTACTTTTCTGGCCGTTACTCTACACCATAACTCAGGAACAGAAGGGGAGACATTTGGTCACATACTTAATTAGTGGCGCTAATCTTGAAACTGTGCTCATTATATAGATATTCTGTGCTCTGTGTGTGTGTGTGTGTGTGTGTGTGTGCGCGCGCTCATGCGTGCGTGTGGCATCTATTCTTTTTTTTACAGACATGGGTGTAAACTGTAGCCGCAACAAATGCAGCTGCCGCCAAAATCCTGAAGAGGCTTCCCTACTGCATCTTGAAAGTCTTTAGAATGACAAATTGAAGACAAGAGCTATATTCTGCTATATGCTATATTCACATAATCACCATTTAAAGTCTCTAATTAACAGGTCTAACAGATTAAACAAACCTGTTTTTTTTTTTTTCTTAATGAAAAATAATCCCTTTCTGTATGGGAAACTTTTTTGTTTGTCTATTTTACATTTCCATGAAGCATTATAAAGTGCTGCCTCATATAATTTAACTTATACCCTGACCCTCTGACCAATATGCAGTGATAAATGTACTTGTGGTGTGACTATAAAAACAGGAGGGACAGGAAATGGTGTGGGTATGGTTGTAAACATAAACACTGGAGCTAGCAAACTAACAATGGCAGTCCACAAAGATTATCCAGCTTTTTGTCAAACATTTTCACTGTCATTAACCTCTGTCACTGTTGTTACACTCACTGCAGCCAAACAGCTTTTATTTTTTTATATTTAATCTGCTTCTCACATTATGCCACAGTGCAGTTATAAAACCAGAATAAAAACAAACAGTATTTCCTGAGTGAGAGATCAATCCTCCCTCCTCCTTCAAAGTGGCTGGGCATTGGAGAGCTCCGGGATTTCACATGTCAAATTTTAATCAGATTGAAGTATGTGCAAAGTGAAAGCGGTGGGTCAATTTATGATCAGAAGGCAATGTGTTTTGTACGTAGAAATAAATGGGAAGTGAATTGTTGTTGAACTGTGCCATTATTTTAGCACTTGAAGTTCACTGACTACAATGTATAGGTACTTGTAATCTTGACATGTTATAGTTTAGTCTTAATCTGAAGGCTCTGAAACATTCTTTTAACATTCTGTCTTTCACCTCCTGCAGGCTGGTAAGGGGATTCTGCGCACAATGAGAGCATCTAATGATGCTGTGGCTGACCTGGTGCCTGTGGACGTGGTCATCAACGCCACACTGGCTGCAGCTTGGTACACTGGATCACAGACACACAACAGGTTTGAGAGTCACAAGCACTTGATCATTTCTTCTCACAGAAATCGTCTGGTCAAGTTATATTAAATTTTGATGCTACTTTTGAAAGTAACATTCAGTGGATTTACTATTCTCTCTTTTATTACAGGTCTAAAAACATCCTGGTTTACAACTGTACGACTGGTGGGATCAACCCGTTTCATTGGGGGGAAGTTGGTATGATGCCTCTTTTATCTTGCCTAAGCACAGCCTCTGTAAAGGCCCCTGACAATGGATGCTTCAGCTTGTATGTTTTAACATGGCATCTAATGACATACTCTGACTGTAATCTGATCCACTGCCTGCCACACCCAAACTAGATGTCCTAAAGGATCCTGGTTTGTAGTTGGAGCATTGTTTTTTTCTGAGAATGAACCCCACCCTTAAACAGAAGGTACACATTGGTGCACATATTGAAGGTGGTTATTGACATTTCCTATAGGCATAGAACCAATCACATTTCTTGTCCTTTAGTAATATTACGTATGATTGATATTCAGTCCTTGACCCTAAGAATAGTAATATAGACCCACCGGTTTGTTTAAAAACTGTAGTGCTGTCATAAATTGTTTTGTACAACTTATACACCATGAAAGTCAGGTACCCTTTACATCATTTATTGGAATCAGTCATGGTTTGCATCCTTTGAAATGATTGCAGGAAGAATGAACTTTGGAGATGTCATACTGGATTTAGGATAAAAACACATTTTGTTTAGGCGGGACTGATTAATTTTTCGAACACTTACTACATCAGTTGAAAGTTGTACTCTGCTGTGCAGTCCTGTTTTATTAAACATTGTTACATTGAGGGGTTGGAAAGGATAACAAGAATACCTTGCTATCCAATACAGTAAATCTCAAATGGCATTTATTAAAAGGCTCAAGTTCGTTCATGACCTTGAAAACTGTAGTTAGCATAACAGTCTCACCAGGTTCATTTTAGTAGCTGTTCTGGAGACTCTGTTCTACAGAGGCTCTGTCTTAACACACAATTTTCTACAGCAGATGGAGTTTGCCCAGTACATGTTCAAAGACAATTCTTTAAGCAGTAATTATTATAATAATTATAATTCTTGAGCAGTGGTTGTTTACTAAAAAGTTCGTGGTTTTTGGGGAGGGGGGTGAAAAGAGTAGACGTGTTAGTCTCTCAAGAAAACTAAAAGTGCGTCAATATGGCAACATTTTAGATTTGATTTATCTGTACAAGTTATCTATACAATACCTCCTTATTTTGCACAAATACCTTAATTAGGTGGCAGCTGGCTGGAGGGGGATCTGAAGCTATAAGTTTCTGGTAAATGACCATCGCTACTAACAACCTTCTTTGCCAGAGATACTTTAGGAAATATCACAACACTAAAAAAGGTTTCCTCCTTAAAAAGTACAAATGTTAAAAAAGATAACTAGTAGGCTACCCAACCATCTTTTAGGTGGTTATGTCTCCAGTCTGATCTAAAGCACACAGCTGACCACTAGCTGGTTTGTTTACGTGACATAACAGAAGTACATATTTAACGGATTCAGTATCAACAGGGAGCTCTGATGTTATGTGATGCAAGGCGATAGCCGGACACTCGCTTGCTTTTTGGACAGTGTGTCATGTTCCATCCAGGAGCGGCTGCTGAGTCAAGTTCGACACCAGGTAAAATTAGGTATACCTGTCCAGTCCATTGTTGGACTTAATATTTAACCAGTTTGAAAATGTTTGTACAGGCCCAGCCCTAACTTGAACTTATACAGTTTCATGATAACTGGGCTCCATCTGCTGAGGAAAATCATGTTACATGATAAAAATTTCTTCAACAGCATTGGTGAAATTGTTTTGCCAAATAACAAATGCCTTTGTGAAGCTCAAGTATTTTTTGAAAACATCATAGCAGTATTGATATATTTAAGCTGCATTTCCGTGGTAGTTCCGTATTGGATTTATTTTGTATCTTAGTGGAAGTATTGCATCCTCTTGTGAGGTACATCATGTGATGGTGTTGTCTTCTGATACAATTAAACGTTCACTCACACACAGGGAATCATACTATCATTTGGGTTATCTGTAATAAATCAAGGTAAAATACATCAGCTATCAGATGAGGTGATTTCATTATTTTTTGAAAAGGTTTGACAAGTTTGAAAGGTTTATTTACCAAAGCTTTCAGTTAGACTTAAAAAAATGTATTGAACTGCTGATTGATGACTTGTGTTGAACAACCTTCTGTTTCTTAGAGTACCATGTAATATCCACATTCAAGAGGAACCCCCTTGAGCAGGCCTTCCGTCGGCCCAATGTTAATCTCACAACCAATCACCTAATCAATCAGTACTGGATCGCCGTGAGCCACAAGGCTCCGGCCTTCCTCTATGATCTGTACCTCAGGCTGATTGGACGAGAGCCCAGGTAACCTTGTAATCGCCGACTCGGACGTGCCACACCTCTGCTGTTTTAACGCCAACACCCCCCTCTCACACACGTGCACACACACACCTCTGCTGCTTTAGTCCTGTCACTTTTCTTTTAGTGTAGTAGCCTAACGTCGTAGCTGCAGTGCTAATGTGTTACATAATGCTTGTGCGCAGTTTTGTTGGGAGTTAAAGAATGTATAACCCAGCTGATCTCCTGCTGATAGAGAGGATTACTGATGGGTTCTGCACTCTTTACATCTTGCTTCTTGCAATGTTCATATTCTCAGTTGGGTTCCCAAAATGTCAGCACTAAGGTCATCTCAGTCAGGCTAATGAATGGACTAAGGTGGACCTCAGTCTGAAGATGGTTTGGGAACCCAACCCAGGTGTTGGCCCATTGAAAAACCTCTGCTAGCCGCTGAATTGTATGTAAAGTAAACTGGATCAGTTGCCCTTTAAATCGAGATACTTAATAGAGAACACCACCTAAATGCAGAATTCCAATATGTTATTTCTATGGCCTAATAAAGTTTAATCAATATTTGTTAACATCAGGTACTTTCTCTCAAAGTCACAAACCAGAGAAGTAAGTCTCAAACTTTCGATATCATCAAGTAAAAAGTCTTAAGCTGTTCTGCAGGCAGTAAATGGGAGCCTGAAATATGTGGACCCACATTTTGCTGCTCTTCGGTTAACCACACTGTGCACCACTCGGGTCTGTTGGGAGTTAGCAAAGTTGCCCCAGTTAGTAAGCTCTCCATTTAGAGTTGAAAACCCCCTTTAACTTTGTTGTTACCATTGTTAACTACTGTAAGTTGTCTTTGCACCATGTAAGTAGGTGTGTTTTTTAAGTTTTGTGGGCACTACATACTGCATTGTGTCTGTGTGTGTTTGCTAGCTGCCAGGTTTCTCACCTGGCACCTGCAACTCCACCACTATTTCCTTCCACATTTCGTCCTTCTTTACGCTATCATGGGAAGAGCTGGAGGACACATTATACAGGCAAGGCTTCTGCTGCCACAATTCGACAAGGTTTTCCTCTTTGCTGGAATCCCACACATTTCTTTTGGCATGTTTTGCCACCATGGCAAGCTGCTATCCGTCTGTTTGTTTGGGTTTTGTGCCAGTGCGTCATTTCATGCTACATTTCTATTAGTTGGTTAGTAGATGTAGTTCATAACAGCAAACACACTGTGAGATGCTCATTCCAAATTTCTAACCCCATCAGAATTTTATCCCAGGCTGTCTCTGACTGCAAGACTGTGACAACAGCCAGCCTTGAGCCTCTGAGCGACGTAGGACAACCGTTGTAGAGCCACGACCAAAGATATCACTATGTTTCACGTTGATCATCTTTTGTCTGCGATGGCCCAAAAATGCACAGTGTTTTTTAACAGTCAATCTTGTGGTTAGATGTTGCAAGGAGTGCAGCAGTCTCCATTGTTCATCACGACATGCTGTTATCTGCTTCTGCCTATGTACCTGCTGCACAAACCAAAGTTTGCCATGAGAAATGGTCCAACCACATCGGTGTCGTACACCTTCATGATGTCCTATCTCCCAGTGGCAGATAATGATGCCAGTATGGCTGGTTTGGTTATAGAAGAATTGTTGATAAGGAGGTTCAAGCCATCAGCCCCAATCTGCTTTCTCACAGCCTGGACAGCAGCTGAGATACTGTCCTCATGTGATATGTCTGTAGATAGACATACACATACTCAAGTGTACATGTACACATTACTCAACCACATGGAGAGGTAGAGGTAGATCTACATATCAACGGTATCAAAGTCTAGGGAGCTAATAGGCTAGGACTGTGTTCTTGGACCTGTGTGTTTGTCATATATATGAACATGAAAATTTTATCTTGGTTTGATTTATTAAAAAAAAACAGATTTAATCAGTCAGATGAGCATAACTGACATCAGTTTATAGGAACAGTGTGTAGGATTTAGTGGCATGTAGCAGTGGAGATTGCAGACTGCACCCAGTTGAAACTTCTCCCATGTGCCAAGCACAAAATCCTCGTTAGAATTCCTTCAGTGTTCATTATTGTGGGGGTTTGGATGTACATTGCAAGTTAGTATGTGTGTCAACTTGACTGGTTTGCAGAGGCGTACAACTGTGAGGCGCAATTCAAGTTTTTTTTTCTGAAAAATTAACTGATTAGTTACTGGGTGGGTTTTGGGCTACTGAAAGCAAAATTAACCAAAAGTGACATCCCTAATTGTAGTGTTAGCAGTTCTGTGACAGAAAATATACCCATATTTTACATACATTCCCCTGGGTGCTCTCAGTGTCATCTATAGCATCTTTCCAGTTCATTGTCTGTGGAGCAGCTCCACACTTTATACTTGATGGCATCATAAGTTTGAGTCATAGCACTCTGGCTTTTGTTGGGAGAGAGTTGGTCATGTTAACTAATATTTATTGACTTTCTTAGACCATAGGAATAACATGTATGAATTTTTAAAGTAGCTGTATTTCCTCTTTAAAGATCTTCAGCACCTCAGACATCATACTGTGATAAAGACTAGCAGTGGTCAAGCTATTCCTCAGGGCCTGCATCTTGCCTAGTATCAACAGGAGGAGGAAACACATTCTTCTTCATCTCGTCCTCTCTGTGTCCTCCTTGTCCTGTCATTTGTATCTTTTTCCTACAGAGTACTGTATAAACATGACCTTCAAGACCAATCCCTTAGAGCAGGCCTTCAGAAGGCCCAATGTCAATCTGCGCTCCAACCCCTTTACTAATCAGTACTGGACCACTGTCAGCCACACGCTGCCAGCCCTGCTCTATGACGGTTATCTCAGGCTGACAGGCCGCAAGCCCCGGTAAGGTTGCAACTGCCCCCATGCACTTTCCCCTCTGCCAGTCAGCCCCCATCTTTCCCACAAACCCACCCTCCCCTACTGTGTGGTTTTGTTGTTTTTTACTGACTGGTTCTGTGGGATGGTGGGAACAGGGAGGGAAGAAACAAAACGTTTGCCGTGTCTTTAGTTGACCTCATGGCATCAGCTGGACTGAGTGTCATCTGACTTCTATCAGAGCATGTTTTCAGCTTTGCTCTGCTTGTAGGGATTTTTTAAAACAACTCTTTTATTCAAAGAAGACTTTTTGTGAACAAGCCATGCTGTGAACATGACATCCATTTTTGCCATCCCCCACTTCTCACCCAATCATGGAAAATGCAGAGACACCATGGGAATTCCTGGTCATTTAAAAAAGTTGTGTCCAGTCGGAGTCAGAGCATGTACTGCTGAATACAACCCCTATGCATGCTACTTGATTAATATCCAGGTTAATGTTTTCTCTCTTTAGTACAAGCCAGAGGTATTTCAGACATTACATGTGAAGCAATGCCAAGCATTCTTCCACAATCCAACCTCTTTATATGCTGAATTTCACTTGATGTATGGCTGTCTGAAATTAATTTGGCTTGTAAGCTAAGTCACATTCTGCGGGTGTTATATGATTTGACTGGGTGTGTCATCAGCTGTAATGTAAGTAATGATTATATCTGCCTCTATTTGCCGATCAACCATGCATGTCTTTCACATCCTTTGAATCATTCACACAGGAGGAGTACGAGTCATCTCAAACTGCCTTGATGAGTGTAAATGTTTAAAGTGACAGCATGTTACCCAAATCAAACAGGCCTATCATTGCATTGGGGCTTTTTATTCAGAACAAATTGAAATGGTTGCAACCATGCATGTCAAATACTGTCAATTTTTTACTTAAGAGCTTAAAATTTATTGAATAAGAAAAAAATGTGCAGTTTGAAGATTCGGAGACCCTCCTATGATTCTCACAGTAATTTTTTCACATTCTCACCCTAATTACCACAACACTGGTTACTAGTTTTAAATAAGTATCACCTAAATTATAATCCCCTAAATCTGAACTAACACAAAAATCAAGTATTCTAACTGGAGTCCCTCGTGTGAACAGGAGGGCAATGTTGTATACTGCTTTGGCAGTAAATGGATTTTATTCATATTGTATTGCGTTTAAATTATTTTTGGTAAGATATTGACCTAAATATCGACATATACCCTAAATTTGGTTCATGGGTCCATTTACAGTGTATTGTCTGTCCTCCTGGTCTGCACACAGGACAAATCCAGTTAGTCCTGATTTGTAGCAGTCACTGTCTTCAGGGCAGGAATCACAGACCTGACAAGTTGCAGTGCTATGACAATGTTTGGACAACCCTCTTGGCTATTTGGAAATTTTGAAGTGATTTCTATATTTTTAAAAAATATCTTTAACAAATCGGTGGAGCATTCTTTGTATACACTACAGTTCATTTTTATGATGTCAATAAAATCCATAAATTCATAAAATTAAAGTATGGACACCCCTAATTGTAAAGGGAGACAATATTTCAATCTGGACCCTATTTTCCCATGTTTTTAAGTGACTAATGGGAACAACAATTTCTGAAATTGGTCGAAAATATACCGTGAGACCACTTGAGTTGGCAGCGGTGAAGCAGGCTGCAGTGTTATCTCTGCAGGCAATTAAGGACCGTCAATGTATGTCCACTAAAAGTGTTTGTTTTTGCCACTGACAGCTCAGATTGCAGTCATGAGTGTCAACACTATGGAAAGGACTCCTACAGCAATAGACCTTTTTGTTTAAGACTGCGAACCAGTGGCATAAGTTAGTCATAATGGGCCCTAGTGCACGCTATGGTGCACATATAGTCACCTGATCAGAGACTTGACATTAGATAACTTTCACATAAATATTACTCAGCAATCATAACTGCATATTTATGTAACAACAAATACCAAAGAAATTAAGAAATTGGTAACTTAACAATTCCAATAGGTGATTTTATTAATGTTATAGAACAGTTGATTTATAGTTGTGGAATTTTGTTTATAGGTGCTATGATTATTTTACAAAAAAGAATTAAAAATAAACATTACGGAGATTGGTTCATCTTGTTCAGGGGCATATATAGCAAATTGGCACTGTATTTAATTTAATGAGAGTTCTTCTTTGCACGCAGGCATATTTTCAAGGTGGCAATCACTCAAGCAGGCCCATTCTCCACCCAACACATGGTTGGAGAGATAACTCTCTCTATGGGCCCCCCAGCTCATGGGCCCCAGTGCAACCGCACTGCCTGCACTGTCGTAGTTGTAGTTATGCCCCTGCTAGGGTCCTTTTTGAAAAATGAAAATTACCATTGCCAAACCCACCAGTCTCCATTGAAATAAACATTATTTTTATCATGGTAAAACATACTTCATTCAAAGCTGACAGAAACAAAATATAACTTAGAAAAGGTGTCTTGTTGCATCTCTCCACTGTTAAAATAATCACCAACTCTAGTTTGGTTTTAATGAACCCTTTATTCACCCAGTTACATGTGAAAATATGCTAGCTCTATACACAATAAAATGACTGCCTATTTGAATGGAGTCTGGTGGGTTTGGCAGTGGTGATTTCGGGACCATTTTTGATTCAACAAAAAGGATTTTACTTTTCAACAAAAAGGTCTGTCTCTGTAGAGATCCTTTCCGTAATGTTGTCAGACACTTAGAATTACAATCTGAGCCTGTCAGCGACAAAAACAAGCACTTTTAGTGGACGTACATTGACAGTGCTAAATTGCAGCTGGTTTAATTGCTGCTGGCTTAACTGCTGCTGGCTGCAATGTTCTCTCTTGAGTACTGGACTAATTGTTGTTTCAATTCTTCACTTAGACACAAAAGCGAGGGTAGTAGGGTCCAGTTTGGAAAGTAATGTTACCTTTAAAAGCTGCTTCTAAATCTGATGCCACTGAAATTTCATGTTGCTGCTGTCTTGTGAAAAACATGTATTTCCAGTTTTAATCAAAGGCTTAATAGAATTGGCACTGGATAGTTGGGATAGTAACTAACAAAATGGAAAAACAAAAAGGACAGTGATTGAAGTTAAAGTCACCAGCTTAGATCATTCAGCGTCAAGAAGTGTACAAGCACATAGCACCATAGCACTTAAATTATCACCTGCTTATATTACAATTATTAGATTTGAAATCTGCTTAATCAGATGTTTGTAATTCAGAAAAGTCATGCCCATAGCATATAATGTGTATCATGTAGTGAATATTTTTGAACCAGTGAAATACAAGATTCATGCACATATCCTACAGTGTTAAATGACTGAAATAGACAGTAAAGAACTCACATTGTATAAAACCTTTGCTACAAAGGTATTTTAGTGTTACTGTAACTGGTGTTTATCTTTGCACTTCTTTAACTTCTGCCTCTGCTCTCCCCTCCTCCAACACCATGACCCTTGTCCTGCTCTTCATTCATTATTCCTCCTCGCTTTCATCATCCATGACACTTTTCCACACTCAATTCCTCCCGTATCCCCTGCACACACCTCCCTCTGTGTCTCTTATTGCTTCTCTCCTTCCTTTTCCATCTTACCATCACCGCTTATTCATCACAGGATGATGAAGACAATCACACGCCTCCACAAAGCCATGATGGTCCTAGAGTATTTCACCAGTCACTCCTGGGTGTGGAACAACGACAACGTAGCCATGCTGATGGCCCAGATGAGCCCAGATGATAAGAAGGTAGGGAGGAGACAGATGACGGTGATGTTTTTATATGGAAAACATCGGTCTCCCTCACTTCATTAACACTTTGTCCCTCTGTTGCCCACATACGCACCACCACACAACACAGACCTGTACACACTGAGTAGATGGCAGACAGATGAACCACTCAGTGCCTTTAATGTCTGATAGTAGGCTGGCTACAGTACAGCGAGTTATTCATTCAGTGGTGACGTCAATTTGGAGTGAACAGAGATGTTTTTCAAGATAACTGTCTGGAAAAATCTGCATTTCTTTATGTACTCTTCACACATTAGAGCTATTGTTCCCACACCATGGGACACTGACATTTGTTCTCTTGATGGAAGCAAATCTGACTAACTGACTAACTGTATTATTAGTTGGAATAGTGATTAAAGTGTCTTTCTTAATAGTGTCTTTCTTCCACCAAAACAAGCTACAGGCTGCTTGGGGACTCGAAACCTTTAATTCCCTGAGTGCTGACTGAAAGGCAGTCACTGCCTCCAAGGCTGCCAGCATTAACTCCATCTCACTGTTCACTGATCCTACCACAAGCCATGAGCCACTGTACCTTTCTCATCTCTCAGCCAATGACCAGGTCTCATTCTCCCCTCATGGTGCAGGACACCACTGGGGGTTAGATTAGGCAGAAGCCAGCTAGAGCTCAGTGCTGTCTCCTCGCTGTGATTACTTACTGTATTCTCACTTATTCTTTCTTATTAGATGCATACAAGCAATTCAGTTTAATTCTTTAATTTTTATTACTTAAATTGCCCATTTGCTCCCCCATATTCTATCACAAAAAATGACTTTTAAGATGTCACAGTTGAAAAAGCACCAGTGTACATTATAAAATCACCAATGACTGAATTCTATTTTGCTGCTGACACATTTTTGATGTTATTAATGATTGTGCTTGTCCTACTATGACAAGTTAAAATGTTTACATTGAAAAATGTCTGTGTTTCTCTGGTGTTTAACAAGTGCAGAGTTACAATCTCACAGTTTTTTGTTTTGTTTTCTTTCTGAATAATTGCTTTGAAAAATGTCAGTTTGTTCATGGTGTGGCAGACTTATTGGTTTGGCCATATACAGTTGACCTGAGTTTTCTTATTTCAAGTTTAACTAATTTTTTATATTTTAAAATTAAGTTTGATATCTAGTGAGGTGAGATTTTCTTCTGTTTTCTGTGAATTTCATCTTTGATAATAAAGATTTTTTTGCTCAACTAAAATCGATACTGAAATATTTTTGCATCGTCCCTCGGTGCGTGTCACGTTGGCTGATACAAATTTCTAACTTGTTCTTCTTTTTTACCATTTCAAACATCTGTTGGTGGCAGTCAAAAATAAAAAATCACCCAGCCACCAAATCAAAATCAAGAAACTTGTGATAATGACTTCCATCCCAGATAATAAATGAGATTGTTGAAGACTGTACTTATCAGTCACTGAAAAGCTGGCATTTCACTGAGACTGTTTATTTGTTTTTATTTCTGTAGGTGTTCAATTTTGATGTCCGTCAGTTACACTGGGCGGAGTACATGGAAAGTTACTGTATGGGCACCAAAAAATATGTCCTCAATGAAGAGCTGTCAGGCCTGCCTGCTGCACGCAAACATCTCAACAAGTAAGCGTGGAATCCAATCTGCAAATCTGCCAACACATATAGACACAGACTTGCAGAGAGTAGTCATCTAGGTCACCATACTGTAGATAAATCTCTACTGTACTTAAATATCCTTTAGGGTTTCAAGTACCTCAGTTCATCCTTCCATTAACCACTGATGTCTTTTACATTTGTCAGGAATATGAGGGTTTTTTTTTTTAGCTAAATTGTTCTTCAGATTATCATCATGCAGTCAGAGTGGTGGTAATCCTCTCAGCTTTCACAAAGCTCATGTAAATGATTCAGCATGCAGAAACTTTCAACGAATTAAAAGGACGGGGCATGAATTAAAAATGGCACATCCAACATCTGTGTAAACTTGACTTGGGATGTGATTTGTGTTGTTCGGAGTAGGGACATCAATTCTGGTTCATTTTGCTTTCCCCAACACCTAATAACTGGTAACTGACTGCTTAACCTAAAAACAAACCCAAAAAAAGTAAAATGACTTTAAATAAAAGAGGCTTTTTCTTTTCTTTTAGTGACATTAGCCCAATTCCAAAGCCCTATCCATTTAGAGATGGTGATATTTTAGTTTTTTATGATGTGAATATCTTGCCTTTTATTTTGTTTGCTGTTGGCTTTGCTGACAGACAGCTGGCCATCTGTGTTAACATAGTATCCACTGCCCTCCCTCCAGTCTCCACTGGTTATCTAACGTTAGCCTTGGCCGTCCTGCACTAACCAACAGCGCTGCTCATTCATGATAACTGCTGATAACATTGTTTCAGTGATGGGATAGCGTTGCTGCAGAAACATGGTGGCAACCCTCTGGTTCCCCCCAGGTTGCCTCAGCAAGTAAGCAGCTTCATTTTGAGCAGCAGAACTCCTTACGCACTGAATATGTTAGCACTACTCACTGTGCTGACATAGGTAACAATGTTACCGTGTTTAGAGTGTTAACTTAGTTAACAACGCTAAAGAAGGGGTTGCAGCTCAAAATTAAGCCAATTATTCACTCAGGCAACCTTGGAGGAGACCAGAGGGTGGGCACAATGTTTTCAATATAACACTGTTGGGTTGGGAAGGTATGAATAGCAGTAATCACCAAATGACCAAATCACCACTAGCTAGCTCCCTCCACACCTGGACCGATCAGCCAAAACATTAAAACCACTGATGGGTCAAGTGAATAACATTGATCATCTCATCACAATGCAGTGCCTTGGGTCCTGGCATTCATGTGGATGCCACTTGACATGTTCCATCCACCCTTACACCATTTCAGACCAAGTATCCCCCAATGCAACGACACTCCCCGATGGCAGTGGCCTTCCCAGCAGAACAGTGCACCATGCTACACTGAGGCACAGGACAGAGAGCTCAAGGCCACAAAATTCCCCAGATCCCAATCTGATAAAGCATTTGTAGATGTACCTCTGATCCACTGTGGGACCTCCTTGGATTGGACTTGGCTCTCACCCATCAAGGGATCTGGGGCATTTGGAGGTTTTAATATTTGGCTGGTCAGTGTAGACTGACATGCATAACTAGTCAAAAACAATCTCAGCGTTAACCGCTTAACAGTTAATAGATGACATACCTAGTTCAGAATAAACTGTCTCATATTTATGTCTTCCCCCTAGCAAACATAAAATTGGAATCCTTTGTTTGAAGCTCATGATTTTTTTCAATTGTGTGTCTGTTTCCAAGGCTGAGAAACATCCGCTATACCTTCAACACCATTCTGGTGGTGCTCATCTGGCGCGTCTTCATCGCCCGATCCCAGATGGCCCGAAACATCTGGTACTTTGTGGTGAGCCTCTGCTACAAATTCCTCTCCTACTTCAGAGCTTCCTCCACCATGAGATAATGAGCTGGGGCCAGAGTGGCGGGCGGCAAGGCTAAGGGGGCGAAGAAATGAAGAAACACTGGCTGTGGATGATGAGAGGCTCCTGAGCTTACTGTCTCTGGCCCCGTGTTCGCCCTGACACTCCAGGATTAAATGGAATCATTAAACCCACAAACAAAGACAAAGCTATTGGACAAGCCTGGAGTCCACAGCAGTCTAAATGTTGCATATCTCGGATTCATCTAACCTGATCTCTAGCATTTCATAAAACACTGAGAGCATGGATTTATCTCACAATGTACAATGCTCAGACTAACAGCACTTGGAGTAGTTAAAGAAGGAGGACCCCACACCCTTATTCTTTTCATTTCCAGTCAGTTTGGCCCCCCTTTGGCAACAGCTTTACTCCTGCAATTTTTAAGCTCTGGAGCACCCAAACCTGCTCCTCCTCTTCTGTCTGTTCGCCTGGCTGCCTGCAAAATAAAACTATGCATTGGATGATGCTCCGCTGCAAAAATCCTCAGCTGATTTTGAGTCAGTCCAGGCTTCCTCTTCTGTACATGTAATCTCTCATTGAAGGAGAACCACTCCAACTGCTGCATAAGTTGTATTTCTCTGCTGTCACCTGAAAACGTAACTCCAATTTTTTATTTTCCTTTTTTTTCTTCTCTCTTGGCGTTTGTGTGCCGTTCTTGTCAATTTTCTGCTAGAAAGGCCTATTGAAAGGTTTTAAAAAATAGTTACAGAAATGTATTATAAGCAGGGTTTTCATCTGACAGCAGCTTTAGCTAGGCAAAGCACTCTCAGCTTCTGGGGCATTGGAGCCGGTTTTGCACATTTGGATGAAGGATGATTCTGTACTGACTCAGTGAAGGCTCGTTCAGGGACAGGCAAACCTAGGAATCATTGTTAAACTCTTTCTTGCCCTCCATACCCTAAGACCAAAGCCATTTTAACCAATGTTTGACAGTTGCACTGACAGCTTGGTTTGAAAAGAAAGTTGACATTGCAGGTGCTTATGGGGGCTTGCTTATGCTGACCCACCCCCCACCAAGAGTTGTCATTGGCTGTCTTTTACTCTTCTGCTTGGCAAAGAGTAGCTCAACAACATTGCACTCCCATTTGTCCCCAGTGAACTGCAGTGGCTAGTTCCCTAATTACAACCAAGCACAATGTAGATTGTAATACAATGGCTTTATCCAGTGCCTACAAACTGATTGTTCTTGCATCAGCAAATCTTGCAAATCGAGCTTCTTCTTCTACAGGTTCCTTGTTTGTCGTGTCTGAAAGTCATTCGTGACAGTCTTAAAGCTATTTTTGCCAAAAAAAAAAAAACCTCTCAGCTAACAGACACGTAGCTCAGTAGAGGATGGAACAGATGGAGTTGAGATGAGAAATATTGTCACTTTTGGCTTCTTTTTCTGCATTATGCTTGAGATTTCCAACTATTTCAGTCCCGGTTGACATATTGAGTCATCGATGTACACTGTCAGCGATAACTCATAATTATTCGTCTTTGTTAGCACACTGCTTTTCAGGTAGCTCCAACTGTAGCTCATCATCTTTGTAAAAAAATATATATACCATATTTTCCCAGGTTTTTGTGTTGTGTTCAAGTGACTAATGGAGCAAAGAATTTTTGAAATTGGTCCAGTAATGAGAGAGACTGCTGCAGCCACAGTGGCAAAACAGGCTGCAATGTAATCCTGCAGGTACTTGAGCACTGTCAGTTTATGTCCGTTTGAATTGGTTGGGGTTTTTTTTCACTGACAGGTTCAGATTGTTATTGTCTGACAGCATTATGGAAAGGATCCATACAGAGAAATTAAATAATGTTTTTCACCTTTCGCTGATTAAGTCTGTTTAATAGTGTACAACCAAGTCTATCTCAAGCATGAGTAGCAAAGGAGGAGCTCAGGTCTCGTTCTGAAATCTCAAGGACTTTTCCAGGTTATCGAAATCAGCTAAATATTCAGCCACAACACAACCTGAATTGCCCAACACAGCATACTCTCCCAGGCACTCCTTTCTCCAACCTTCACTAACATTTCTACCATTGTTTTCCTGCAATAAGTCACCTCTTGCGAGAGTTCAGAATGAGTCTTCTGCTTTATCAGGACTTCACGGGTCACAATAACAAACAGACCAGCGAAATGTAAGAGAAAACATTTAATTTCTCTGTAGAGTCTGTTCCATAATGTCAGACACTTCTAAGAACAATCTGAGCCTGTCAGTGGCAAGAACAAGCACTGTTGGTGAATGTATAATAACAGTGCACAATTGTCCACAGGGAGTACATTGCTGCCTGTTTTGCCACTGTGGCTGCAGCAGTCTCTCTCAATACTGGACCAGTTTCCGAAATTGTTGTCTCCATAATTGTGTCAGACACAAACGTGGGAAAATGGGGTCCAGGTGAATACAAACCTAAGTTTCCCTTTATGTCATTTTTATGGTTCAGTCTGTTAGTTACTTGTTCATTTACTATCTTAGTTGCTTTTGTTTATAACCTGCTGTTAAACCGTTCTGTTGCCTTGATCATTCTGTCTGGTTACATAGAAATGTATGTTTTCAGGCAAGAAATGTTGGCTTGTTACAGAGTTGGTAACATGAGCTGAGGCAGCATTTTGTTGCATCAAATTTCTCTGGGTTTTTATAGGAATTAACCCTCATTGCCATATTAAGTCTTCTATCAATATACCTGAGGTTTACCTGTGCATATTTGTCTTGTCTGTTACGTATTTCTCAAGCACACTACAATGTTCCAAACAGCAGGGTGTGACCGTGTGCTCATCTTTGGTTGTGCTTGCATGTGTCTTCTCAAAGTGTCTTAGGCCATAGCAGCTTCAAACACCTCCATGTACATCCTGTGAATGTCCCAGATTCATTAAGGAATGTGACTTTGGTCTTTTTCACTCTCGCAGCATGAGCCGTTTTACAAAGGATCATGTGACTCGGTGGAAAGATGCACCCTTTTGGAAAGACGTGTGAATCGTGCCTGAACTTTTTTCAATATTCTAACAATGTGAAAAGAGAGCAATCAGATCTATGTTTTCTAATTATTTTGTGTACAGCTCTATTTAGGTAGACTTGAAAATACAGATGTATTTTTATGCTAATGACATTGCGTGGCTATTTTACTGACAAGAAGCTTACTGAACCAACTTCAGCTGCTGTAAATAATACTTTAAAAAACTAAATATGTAAACAGAAGTGCAGTATGTCCACAGCTCAATTTAAATGTTGTAAGTTGCTTGTGACTTAACTGTATATGTACATGTTCTTTTCTCTCTTTGAATGTAATAGAATAACACAGCCTGACTTGTTTGCACAGCCAGAATCTTCCTCTGACTCCTGAAACAAGAAATTAACAATACTGTAACTGGCTGTAATTTTAATATTAAGCAAGTGTTTGTTCATTGCAGTGCCGTGCGAGCCATTTTTGCTGTTGTTATCCCCATTTCCTTGTGACAGTGTGAGTGAGTTGGTCAGTTTTGTCATGGTGAATGGATGTCATGCTCTTTTTTAGTGTTGTGTGAGAAAAAAAATGGCATGTCTAATTCAGGGTTTTCTTTAATTTGTTCTATTGGTTTGAGAAGTGAGAGCAGTGGACGGGTCCTTTTCATGTTCTCACTTTCGATATCGAGAACTACTGAATCATACCAACTACTGTTCATCAAACAGGGCATTGTACACAAGTTACATCAGCATCCGCTCCACTTGGAACAAATCCTAAATGGAGTCAAATTAATCCAGTATAGTCACAGAAGCCACTGAAAACATGGTGTCAGATACTTCTATACAACATGAAACATTCATAACTGCACAATAACCAAAGGAATAGTTTGACATTTTGGAAAAAAATGTAGTTGCTTTCTTGCTGAGAGTTAGATGAGAAAGATTAATACCACTCTCATATCAGCAGCTAGTTAGCATAGCTTAGCATTAAGACCGGAAACAGGATGAAACCACTAGCCTGGCTCTGTCTAAAGGTAACAAAACCAGTAACAAAGAACTGGATACAGCGTCAAAGGCGGGACCCCATCCATTCCTATGAACATTGCCCAGTTGTGCATGGAGCTAAAACATGTTCAACTGCGATAGATAAAATTACCCAGATCTGCACTGCTTCCACAGTTTAGTGCTCCACTAACTTAAATGGGAATGAAATGATTTTATCATGCAGCTTCTAGACTTTCCAAATGTTTTCTGACCAAATAGATCAAATTCTTATAGTGAAACATGTCATTTCAGGGGGCTGGGATGCTCAAAAAATTCATCCACTGTTTGACAGATGTATTTTCTGCTAATTAAGTCTTTGGAGAAAAGTCTTTATGGGCCATATGGCAGCAAGAGATAAACTAATTCCACTGTTTGGTCACTTCAGAAAATTTCTTTAAAGCATGACACACTTCCTGAGGGCCTGACCAGCACCCCTGGACTTCCTCGAGTCTCTGCTGGTCTCCCAGCAACCTCACTGTGATGAGAAAACTCTAGACTAACGTGAAGTCTTCACTTAGATATTTGTACAGATTAAACAATGAGATACAATATATTAATAAGTGAGCTGATATGTAGATTTTATCATCTTTGGACAGAGCCAGGCCAGCAGAGTTTACCTCTTTCTAGCTAACAGCCACATATTGATCGACAGAAATGATTGGCAACAATCTTCTCATTCAATTTTTAGCAAGAAAGAGGGTTGGCATATTTCTGAAAATGTCAAACTATTCCTTTTACTTTAGGAAAAAGACATAGGATTAATTTCAGGATCAGGACTGTGGCTGTGGTTGGATTAGATTTGAATGAGACTGGAGTGACCTCAGATTTTGATTCAGATGTTGCTATATCACCCTTCTCTAACTTACTCTGGCCCACCTCAAATCAGTGAGAACACCAACGAAAAAATAAATGCAAAAATCTCGTGAAATAACTGACCTGGCATCATATAGGACCTTATGTCTCTTATTTAAAAAAGCTGTCATTCTGAACGACGGATCACAGCTTATTGAACTCGCATTTGG